TTTTCTTGCCCAATAAGATTTCAGCATTAATTGGTCATTTGAAATTCGATAATTATTTGCGTACATCAGTTTCGTATGTACGTACCCATTTTTTTTTATTTTCGAATAGCCAAGTGTATAATTAGTTAATTGGCAACGCAGCTTAGGTGCGCCAGAATACCCTACTTCACCTTATAAATATATAGTTTATATAATGGCTACGTACCTATAGTTTGATTTTGCAATGAAGTGAATTTGGTCATATGTATAAAATTTTATTTGGACAAATTTGGGCATATAGTATTTTTATACGTATATGTATGTTCATATACATATCTGTGTCCAAATGTAATGTTTATTGGACATAGTCCACAATTGAAACACTGATTAGATACTATATATAACGTACGTACGTAAGTAATTCTATAAAATGCCGTAATTCAGTAATTCTACCATCAACAATAACATAACTTAGCGTTAGTAATGCAATAATCCTCTAATCGTTAATAATCGTGTCTCATCTGATCAAATAATGATGCTACCGCGATTTTTATGGTTAGGGTGTAGGTTTACGTATAAAATAAATTCTACCTTAACAGCTAAATTGTAATTTTATTACGTATTCATATGCTGATGTCATAAACGTACAATTATGTCATTTAAAAGGATCGGTATGATGCAACTGCTTAATTGTCACGCCCCATAAAAATCCGGCCATCATTTAAAATGCAGTTTCAGATGTTCGTGTAACAAATAGGCAGATTAAAAAATTATCGTTATCATAAAGGGCATGTAAATGTATAAATGTATAAATGTATATCTTTCCCTTCCATGATACTAATCGCTGAGTAATATGACTCTCATATCAGCTGAAGAAGTTGCTAAACATAATACACGCAAGGATTGTTGGGTTATTATACATGGAAAAGTTTATGATGTAACTAACTTTCTTCCGGAACACCCTGGTGGCGTGAAAGTGATCCTTAATGAGGCCGGTAAAGACGCGACAGCTGCCTTCGACCCAATCCATCCACAAGATATAATTAAAACGCACTTGCCCCCCGAGGCTTGCCTCGGCGAGGTTGATCCAGCTACTGTGATCAAAGTGGAAACTGTGGTAACCGAGGAGGAAAAGCGGCGTCGTGAATTGATCAAAAACAAACCAGCTTTAAGTGAAATGTTGAATTTATTTGACTTCGAAGCTGTAGCTTCTCAAGTTTCGACTGCTGAGGCGTGGGCATATTACAACTCTGCCGCAGATGATGAAATCACTCATCGAGAAAATCATAATGCTTTTCATCGTATTTGGTTTCGCCCTCGAGTCATGAGAGATGTAACTCATGTGGATATGAGCACAAAAATTCTAGGCCATTATTCTTCTTTTCCATTATATATAACTGCTACTGCATTGGGAAAGCTTGGACATCCCGAGGGTGAAGTTAATTTGACTCGAGCTGCTTATTCACATGAAATTATTCAAATGGTACCTACTCTTTCATCATGTTCAATGGATGAGATTAGAAATGCTCGTGGAAAAGATCAAGTTCTATTTTTTCAATTATATGTGAATCAAAACAAAGATATAACACGGAGAGTCATTCAGAATGCTGAAGCGATAGGTTGCAAGGCTCTTTTCATTACTGTGGATGCTCCGCAATTGGGTCGTCGTGAAAAGGATATGCGCATGAAATACATTAATTCACCTCCAGACATTCAGGAAGAAAAGGATTTAGATCGTGATCAGGGTGCTGCACGAGCTATCTCTTCTTTTATCGATACAAGCTTAAACTGGAACGATCTAGAATGGTTTAGATCTGTTACATCTATGCCTATTGTTCTCAAAGGTATTCAGACTCTCGAAGATGCAATACTTGCGGTAAAGTATGGATGTAATGGTATAGTTCTATCTAATCATGGAGGTCGTCAACTTGATTTTGCTCGTTCTGGTATTGAAATTCTTCCTGAGGTTGTCGAAGGTTTAAAGAAACAAGGCTTATTAAATAAAGTTGAAATCTACGTAGACGGAGGCATCCGCCGTGGAACTGACATTATTAAAGCAATTGCATTAGGTGCAAAAGCTGTTGGAATTGGGAGACCACTACTTTACGCTATGTCTTCATATGGACAAGCTGGCGTTGAACGCGCTTTAAAATTATTAAAAGACGAAGTAGCGATTGGTATGCGTCTATTAGGTGCCAATACACTTGCGGACATCAGTCCTGACATGGTAGATATCAAAAATTTAACAACTCATGTATATACACCAAAAGATTATTTATATTCAAATGTGTACGAGAGGATTGTTCCTAGGCGAAGCAAGTTATGATAATTTCTCAATATATTACTATTTACAAATGAAGGGTGTTTTTTTTTTTTTTTTGGAGAAATCTTAAAAGTGACTGCTACTGTATAATCTATGTAAATTACGACTATTTACCATAATCATTTATAATCTCAACAGATTATTTGTAAAAATTTTACGTGTACTAATAAAAAAAAAAAAAAAGCACAAATCCTACATTAATCACAACGTCGTTTATACACTGCGCATATGTTTATTCATTTAATAAAGATAAAAACGTAAAATGTCTAAGTCATTGTTCCTAAATCAAATAATCAATATAAAACTAATCAATAAAAGATAACAATTGCATTATATAATAAATAAAAGCAATTTACCAGTTCTTTTACTTTTTCGTAGCAAGCCATATAATGCTCTTTATAATCAAAAGCTTCTTCATCCTTCAGGTCAGGAACCATCATCACTACACTTGTAGGACGCTTTGTAGCACAGGCAAATCCAAGATCTGCCCTCGATGGAATGTAAATATAAGGCACATTATAGTCTTCGCATAGTATTGGGATGTGAGTGATTATGTCTATAGGTGAAATATCCCCAGCAATTACGACAAGACTACGTTCCAAAAGTATATAATTGTTAACACGTTCAAACGTAATGAGCAAATATAGAACCGATTAGGACGAATCTTCGTCCAGACTTACAATAAATTGTATTTACCCTTTATGTCCTTTTTTTAGAGCTTTGACTACTTCCTTGACACCACGTCTACAATGTCTTTTTCTTGAAGCTAGCCATGATGAATTAAATATTATGCTAAATTGAACTTCCAAGTAAAACCGTTGAATTCAATGTTTTGTAACAATTTTTATTCCTTATTACCTTTTCTCACAACTTGCATTAATTCTAGGGTAAATTCTTCAGTTGCTAAAGGTGAAGCAAATGATATCAATGCGCTCAAGTCATAATGTACCACCATAGAAATATCTTTTTGTGCTGTCGATGTTTCTGCAGTTTCTGAAACATTCTTTGGAACTTTCTCCGTAGCTGCTTCTTCGACTTTTGCAACTATCAGTTCAATGTCTTGAGTTATTGTTTTACCCTTAGAACGCTCCTTATCACGCTTCTCCTTGTGAGACTTTTTCTCCTTCTTCTCCTTCTTTTCCTTCTTCTCCTTCTTTATTTTCGTTTCCTTTTTTTCTTTAGGCATTTTGCTATTATAAATCAGAATAAGAAAAAAAAAAAAATCTAATTAGATATTTATAGCCAATCAGAATTCAACGAAAGACGGAGGTCATACAGTATAAACAAGTATTACAAATTTTTCGTGTCACCTTATCTCACAGAAACTAAATAAAAAAGATTACAAAATCGTTCTTTCTACATAATTCCTTCTCTCTTTGCTGCACTTTGACGTCCAAAGTTCGATACACTTTTTTGGGTTAACCATTTATTTCACCATTGATAGGAAGCTTGTTATATAAATAAAAATTAGGAATCTTATATAAGTTCGAGAGTACGTAATTTTGTTTTTCTCTGTAAACAACTATTTTAAGCTATCGTTAATTTTTTTATTTCCTCAGTTTAATAGAATATTTCAATACATCAAATATGCTCTCTGAAGAAAATGAGGTGTTAGACTTGACTATAGTCGAGAATAACGCAGGAAGAAGAACTCGAGCTTGCCGTTCACAAAAAAAGAGACAAGAGTCAGTGGAATCAAATCACGAACCATATGGTAATGACTAAAACGAATTGATCTTTATTTGATTTGTCGAAAATTTATAATCAAATTAATGCTTAAATTTTAATAGGCTTACCATCCTCAAGTCGAACATTAAAAAGAGCACATGAATCTGCTGGTATGAATGGTAAGGATATTGAATATATATTATGTTGTTTTTGTTCATATTTGTCATTAATTATCGGCAAACAACAAAGCAAATATTTTTCTTGTAAAATATTAATTCAGAAATTTGCAAAATTTGATCTTTATCTAAATACTCCAAATTATATTTATAAATTAGACCTTTATTAAGATGATTCATAGACATATTGCTATCACCTGAATTTATTGAAAAAAAAAAAGAATAGATATATGACATTTAGATAAAGGTCAAATTCCACAAGTCCGCCGAGTTGTATACATTTATTTGATTGTTGTCCTTTTGTTGTGTGATAAGGACGATATAAATTATTTTGAATTTTGTGATTTTTTTCAAATTTCTCAACTTTCTCAAATATTTATCATCGTCCGTTTTATAATTATGTACATAGAACAAGAATCTTCAAGCAATTTGTTAAGCTCTCCAATAAGATTAAATAAACGAAGAATGAGAAATTCTGATACTATTATTAAAAGTGAAGAAGGTGCTTTTTGATTCAATATGATTGTGAATCGTCAGTTAACATTAAATTAACCTCAAATTTTAAGTAGTAGAGCATCCAATACCTGATACGAGGAGCCGAAACTATTACTTTCTTCCTCCACCTCATAGGAACATCAATTCACCGTCCATCCAACGGTCTGAAAATTTAAACAATCTTAACGACACATCCTTCTCTACCCCTGTGCAATTATTCCCAGATGGACACAACGCTGGTGGAGTAACTTTGCGTCCTATTTGTTTGCCTCACGAAAACTCTACACATGGTGGAATAACTTTGCCTCCTATCCGTTCAGTACTACCCATCGATCTTGAAGACTTTGGCACTATAGGTCGGTTTAGAGCATCTGAAACAGACGGCGGTATTGAAGTAGTCGACCTTACATCTCCAGAGAGCTTTGTAATCGACCTTACCTCATCTCCAAATGTCCATTCGAACCCGGAAGTAATCGTTATTGATGATGAGGAATCTCCTTCAACAGACAATATTTCATCATCCACGGCTTCGTCATCACAGAAAGGACTTCTACTTAAATGCTCAATTTGTCTTGATCATCCAAAAGATGTTTCTGCCACCCCTTGCGGACATATATTCTGTTGCGAATGCATAACAACGGCAGTAAAAACACAGAAAATGTGTGCGCTTTGTAGGCGTCCTGTAACAAAAAAAGCAGATCAAGCATCTAGAATTCAAGGTGTTATCTGTAAACAGCTAACGGTCTGTCTTTACGTTCGAAAAAAAAAAAAGTTCATCTCCATATGTTTGTACCAAATAGTTTTTACTCTCTTTTTTTCCTTTAGTAATTTCTTTACAGTACAATTGACGAATCTGAACATTTTTTATTATCCTTAAAGACAATCCATTATGGCCTGAATATACCGTAGATTATATATCTATAGATTTGTATGGCTTTTTATGATTTAACATAATTTTGTATGGCTTAATTGTCATCAATAAAACGAAAGGGAACAAAAAAGGCTAATATGAAAATATAAAAGTATCAATATATGTATATACATATATATAAAGAAAAAAAAAAAAAATTTTTTTGTAGTTTAATATAGATTATAAATTCTAAACATAAATTGTAAGATATATAGATAAACGATTAATTATAAATTAAAAAATATATATATTATTATGTTTAATATAATATCTTTTATTGTATAATATGGGCTAGGTGCTGCAAAAAGGGGGAAATTGCCAAATTTTTTAAAATTAATTTTTTTACATAAATTAATTTACCTAAGACACAAAAGTAATTTTATTAATAAAAGTTTGCAATATCGATATAGTTTTGACATATTATAAAATTTATAAAATAATTAATTTTCCGAAGATCTCTCTTTTTGTTGATTTCGCAGCACTTAGCCCATATATGCTGATTGTGACAAGGATACGTAAAAATACATTCTCCGAACAAATGACTTTTAAATTATTTGATTTTCAATTTATTGAGGTTACGCATGGCTAAAAGATAGAGCATGTGACTTGTGTTTAACTGCTTAAAGCCGGGCACAGCACTATTAACG